TTTCCTTTCCTTTCCTTTCCCTTCCCTTCTACTCTTTTCCTTTCTATTCCTTTGCTTCGCATTGCTTTGCTTTTCTTCTCATGTTCTTCCTTCCTTCCTTCCTTCCTTCCTTCCTTCATTAAATATATAAACACTACATGTGTAATTTTCCTTTGACTTGATTTTATCCTTGCTTTTTATCCTTTAGGTAGCTCAGCAGTTTTTCAACAGGACCCAACAGAACTTCAAATATCTGGTAGGTATTGTTATATCTATTATTTATTATTATTATTCTTCCTCCCAAGTTGTGGCTTTGATGATACATTTCTCCACTTGATAACATTTATCCGCCGAATAGCGTTATCCACCCTTCGTACAACCGGACCCAGATGTAATCATTTGAGATACACGGTCGATATGAAACATGTGTTCAAAGCCTCCATGTTTTCGGTCGGTGCAAGGACGTATGAACATTCCATGAGTTGTATCACTAGATACATTGAATTAACGTACTTCCCATGTACCATTTCGGGTTCATCTTCTATGTTCTATGTTTTTGGACCCCACAATGATTTTGCAATCAAGTGTATACATTTAACTTATAATTATCACCTACCAAGACATTTTTTCTAACGTGAACCAATGGTAACTTTGTTTTTAAGGTCTGGAGGCTTTCTCGTTTGACTATGTTGTAAAATGGCCAGTTTCTTTAATTTTGAGCAAAAAGGTAATTACGCTTTCGCACTAATAAGCCTGAAGCGAGATGACGTTTTACCCCCGTCTCTAGACCATAATCCTTTTCACATTGCTTTTGTTCTTTAATTATGACTCTAAGGAAACAAAAATTTTAATATGAAAGAATTTTAAAAACTATTATGGTATAGAGTCGGGGGTAAAACGTCATCTCGCTTCAGGCTTATTGGGGACACTTTTCACTCACATGCACTACCACTACCACTACATTCAGTGTTCTATGCACACAACGCTCAACTCACGTGTTGATTTTTACGGAGGTAGAACCGGAGAACCCTGAGAAAAACCCTCTTAGCATGGGAGAGAATAATACATCCACATTAATCCACATGTGCCGGCGACAACAGGGCTCAAACCAGGGACCCGACCCGTTGGACGCACAGCGGCGAAAGACGTACGACGCGTTAGCAGCGTACGCCACCCATGCTACCCATCTAGTGGTCTGTTTTATATGCATGTGCCTCCATGTCATTATTATCGTCATCATCATTCAGGAACAATTATAGAACTTTTTATAAGCACAACGTTTGCACGCCTAAAAGGCTCGAGGGGTAACAGAAACATGATTTTCCTGGAAAGTTTTAAAGTTGTACATGTTTGGAGATATTATTTCTCGCATCGCCAAGGCATTCTTGGGCAGGAAGAGGGTTGCCTCATCGGCACCCTTTGTGCTCTCTTACAGATAACCACCACTTTTTATTATGGCACTATAGAATTTGTTCGATATAATAAAACACCTATAGGATTCATCCTCGCCATTATGGCAGATATTAAAGTCTTAACTTCTTAAATATTCTGTCATAATGGGCTCGAATGAATCCAATAAGTGTATATTAACATTATTTGATGTATTTATCTTCTTTTCGCAGGCATTAACTAAGTACCAGATGCTCTTCAGACATTTATTCTACAACAAACACGTAGAAAGACAGCTGTGCAAGTAAGAGTCAAACTACCAGCATCCCTCTTACGACTGAAAAACAAAAAGATCTAACGTTGATGATTTTTGTTCACAGTGTCTGGCTCAACAACAAGAAAGCCAAGCAGTTCACTCTTCAATCTTCACCATGGTATGTAGTGAGTCTGTCAGTCTGTCCTTTAAGAAGTAATGGGATTTAGCAGTGGCATTTCTACGAAGTAACTATTCGTCTACTAAATTCGAACTGGAATCTAGAAGGAGGAAAGAAAATTGGAGAACCGGGAGAAAGTCTCTTGAAGCACAGGAGAGAGCCAAAAAGCAAGTCTACTCACATACGACACCCAATTCGGCAATCGAACCAGGGTCGCGTTGTTGAAAGCGTTCTCACCGCAACGTCACCCGCTGCGTTTCCTTTCCTTTCCTTCCCTTTCTCCCTTTCTTTTCCTCCCTCCCTTTTTTCCTTACTATTTCCACATTTTCTTGTCTGTCCTGTAGGTATGCAGCAGCTTTTGCGTTATGTCAACGCATGCTCCACCTCGTCCAAACCTTTCAACACTACATGATGTTTGAAGTATTGGAACCAAACTGGCACCTCATGAAAAAGAGTTTGGAAGAGGTCCGTGGCTAGTCCATACATTATTATCTTATAGAAGTTTGGCACCATCGCGTGCCCACACCCATAATACAGCTTGGACTGCCTGTGGTTAGACGGCAGATCTATTGTCATTAGGAAATACCAATTTGAATAAGAAAGAAAATTCGCGAAGCATTTTGGTGTCATGTTGGGAGTCAAATGCGCCATCATGAAAACATCCTATTTATAGTACAACCTAAGGTGATAGCCAAGTGATGTCTCAACATGTAGTAATCGTTGTTCGTAGAATATAAACAGAATGGTACATGAATAAATACATGTGTATTGTTGTTTTTCCAGGTGACGAATATCGATGGTGTATTGGAGCAACATAATGACTTCTTGGACAGATGTCTAAAGGACTGTATGCTGACTAACCCAGATCTACTCAAGGTGACCCTAGTTTTTCAATCATCCTCTTTGAAATTGCTTCTATTTTTTACTATATTCTTAGAATTTCTCTGTCAAGGTATTCGTATAGGAAATCGCACGATCTCGAGTACAATTTGGAAATTAATAGACACGAGTAATGTTTTGAAAGTTCTAGTAATTGCACGAGCCTTTAGGCGAGTGCAATTAAAGAACTTTCAAACATTACGAGTGTATTATGGTGTATTATGGTGTATTATTATGGTAATCAGCGGTCAATTTGTAAAAGAAATCGCACAATCTCGAGTATAATTCAGAATTTATAGGTATGAGTGATGTTTTGAAAGTTTTCAAAATTGGACGAGCCTTTAGGCAAGTTTAATTTGAGAACTTTCAAAACATCACGAGTATCTATAAATTCCAAATTGTATGAGAAGACAGTGCGATTTTTTGTTTATAGTTCACTCAACAAAATTTCAGTAAAAAATGCGAAGCGACGCCGTTCATCTTTGTCTATTTGGGGGCCGATTTTCAGTCCATGGCGCAACTGAAATGCATAAAAAAGATTAGTTCTTACGGTTTTAAAATTTTCTTTATATGTTCTTAAGTACAAAATGATAGAAAATAATTGTTTTGACATTGTTTTGGCCGTGTTGCCATAGCGACTTAATTCGGTAATACTAGCGGAGTACAATAAAGCTATAATTGTACTCCTCTCGACCAATCAGAGTCGAGTAATTTTGTTGAGTGTACTATAAAGTGTGAAATACGTGACAATCCAATGTTTACTGATCCAGAAGTCACCAGACCCGGCTTCGTGATTTTCTTAAAAATTTGTTTTTATTTTCCTTTTAATTTCTTTCCAGAATGTTAGCAAGTTGTTATTGGTGTGCGTGACATTTACAAACTGTATGCAAGTAAGTTACCGCCATTTGCATTGCTACGCGGCCATCCGAGACGAAAATCGCGATGTGCACTTTGCAATAGACTGCCGTCAATCAAACACGTTGTCATCATTTACACGCGTGTGTGATTCGAAAGGCGCCAAAACTTGTCGATTGTTTACAAGTATTATGAGCCACACTCACCGGGCTTATCCGGGCCGATCCAAACGCGCGTAAATGACGTCAACGTGTTTGATTGACGGCAGTCTATTGCAAAGTGCACGTCGCGATTTTTGTCTGGGGTGGCCGCGTAGCAATGCAAATGGCGGTAAATGTTTCTCTGCCCATCTCTTTTCTGCGTAACTATTGTGTTGCTTGGTTTTGCTTGACATCATTTATTTTCTGTCTTGTGCGGATGGCTTCATAGCTGGATACCAACCACGTTAAATAATTAATAACAAATAACTTTAAATAATATTCGTGCTCTATCTTTAAATGATTTATGTCTTTTTTATACACAGCGATTCACCCAGAGTGCAAGTGCTGAGTATGTCAACGAAGAGCCTGGGCAGAGCCCAATGAGCAAGAGAGGCCCACCCCCAGGGGCGGAAGAGATGAAGAAAACGGCTGCAAAGGTATATGGGTTATCACAGCTTATACATATCACGTGTGATAGATTTAAAGATGCTCGGGCTGTTACGTTAGGCAATTTTCATTGCAACTTGTCGCACACTTTCGTGTTTCACAATCTCAATTTTGTTTACGCAGCGGTGCAAGAATTAGAACTGAGATCTATCAAACCATTATCATCGTTATCATTATCATCATTGCATTATAGTCATCATCATCTTCATCATCACCATCATCATAGTTATCATTATTCTACTTTTCGCAACAAAATTGCAAGACATTGCCTAGCGTAACACCAATCCTGCAACTTTTTTGCACGAATCATTGCCAAGTGCAACATAACGTGTAAGTGCAAATGTAACGCACGTTTTTATCGCGCAACAAAATTGTGAGACAATTTGCACGAAAAATTGCATAGTGTAACAGCACCTTTAGCCTTGCAAGAGTGTCATTGTGAATGCACCACCAAGAAAATATGGTGCTCGCTAGCAGCACATGCATAAAGATAAGGAATAGATATAGGCTCTGTGCAGTTTTTCTTCTTGTATGGAGTCTCCGTATGCTAGTCCTAAGCTTGTGAAAATAAAAATTTAACATAATAAAACGTTTAAAAATCATGGCCCAACTTGGATCAATTTTGGGAAGTGTTTTGGTAACTGAAGGAGTCATAATTTGATTCCAGGCAGAAGCTGATCACATGAGTCGGATGATGAGTGGTGGAGACTTTGAAAGTACCGTCCAGAACTTTGACGCTAACTTCTCTCGGCTCCTGTTGGATCTACTGGAAAGACTAAGTCATTACTCTACCACAGACTGTGAGCACCAGATGCTGAATATTATAGCAAGACTGGATCATAATGGGTTCTATACGGCACAACTAGAGAAGAGACCCCCTGAAGGTAAAGATATGTGCAGGGGATGGTCAGGGATGTGTTTACCCCGTAGGGTAGGGGGGTTGGGTGAGACTGGATCATAATGGGTTCTATACGGCACAACTAGAGAAGAGACCCCCTGAAGGTAAAGATACGTGCAGGGGATGGTCAGAGACGTGTTTACCCCGTAGGGTAGGGGGGTTGGGTGAGACTGGATGATAATGGGTTCTATACGGCACAACTAGAGAAAAGACCCCCTGAAGGTAAAGATACGTGCAGGGGATGGTCAGAGACGTGTTTACCCCGTAGGGTAGGGGGGTTGGGTGAGACTGGATAATAATGGGTTCTATACGGCACAACTAGAGAAAAGACCCCCTGAAGGTAGATATATGTGCAGTAGATAGTCAGGGATGTGTGTTGTCATAGAGAAGGAAGTTAGGTGAGATAGGAATATATCTTTTGTTAATCATTCATTTTTCATTTCATTCCCATTATCCCATTCTATCCCATTTAGAATCCATTTATGCAGAGGGTCCAGCTCGTAAGGAATCGCCTCAATCTCAAAGTGACTCGCAGTTCCTATCTTACGACGAGCCCGTCAGGGAAAGTTCAAGTACCAGCGCTACCATGAGGTCAGCTGACTCTTTGGATAAAATAAGCGCACGTCTAAAAAGTTTACAGAAGCCTGGCTCAATGCCTGATCTTTACGAAGGCAAAAGGTCGAGACGATGAGCAAATAACCACAGCATAATGAAGATATGTTATTAATGCGTCTGTTAGTTTGTGTTCGCTTAGCAGTTGATTTACGCATTGAGGTCAGACGTCTCAAGCTGTATTGAGCCTGCCTGAGCCTGCAGCGCATCTCGATATCTTTCACCCACGGGAAGAATAACTGCTTTAGTCTTGCTGAAGGTGCAGTGACTTCCAACCTTCCCATCCCCCCCCCCCCCTCTCTCTCTCTCTCAGCCCTGGCAAGTGGTTTATGGGCTCTTTCTTGGTGTTACAAGGCACCTGAAGCATGAAGACAATAAAGCAATAGCCAAGGATAATAAATGTTGAGATAAAAACCCTAACCCAGAATACAATAAAGCTTGCTACACCAAGAAAGACCCGATGTAATGCATCCTCTCTTAAGAAGTAGTCCTTTCCCTCTCCCCTTCGGTATGGGAATGCTCAGGTCAGACGACAAATGATTTAAAGATTTTTTCCAGACTTCGACACCACATTACGCATGTTATAGTTCATTAAGACGTTAAATGTGCTTGTATTATAAAACTCACATTTATAGGCATTGATAGCTTTAATGGGCCAGACTCATTGGGACGAGCATACCTTTGTCTGGGTACTTTGATCTTGACATCGACGTCTCGCTGTACAAATATCATTATTACAATCATGAAGGGTACTCCATATTTCCGAGAGGGATATAATCGTGAGATTTCTCTAGAAAATCCGGGTATTTAGATGGTAATAGCTTAAGATTATGTAATCATTTTGCAATCTATCGTTATAATTCTCTTAGAGTAGATTTCGTATAAAAGATAATGTTATAGTATGGATTTCACGTGCCGTTGATTAACGCTACCTAGCTGTAAAGCGAGGGCTGTGATTGGTCCAAGATGTCGTTAAATTCGTATGCGACCTTATCTTGAAAATTTAACTCGTACGAAAGACATTCTTGTGGCAAACTTACTGCATCTTAAACACGCGAACTCTGTTTCTCCGGCCGCGAAAAAAACAAATTTCAGCGTGCAACTCGGAGAAACAAAGTTCGCATGTTTATGAAAATTGCAGTAACTTCCTTCCTAAAGTGGCACCTCTCAGGCTTGCCTAATCGTTCAAGGTGTGCTCTTGCTATTAAATCCAATCCAATTATAAACGCGTAAGACTGTTGCTACTAACTGGAGGCGTGATTAGTACGATACAGATGGCCAACTTTACAAAATATTTTAATACAGTTAAGTTATCTTTCTCCTATCATTTCTTTTTCGACTTGGAATATTATGTCATTCCCTTGAGTATGATTTTTTTCACCTAATTATTGAGATATCAAGCCATATCTCTTGCGTATGATTTTTTTCTTTATCATAAAATCGGCAAACGATTGATAGAACTGTTTTCAAATAAGTAGAAAATAAACGTTACTCACTTCAAGCACGTACACGGTACGATATGATGTAGCATTGAAATGGCTTCCCATTGTCTTCCAGTACTTCATCCAATCACGACGCGCTATGGCTACGATTGGCAGGCGTGTCGTTTTCCACTCGCACGAAACCGTTTTATCCTTTAGCAGGGACCGCGGAGCATGTTGAAAAGTGGGGGCTGGCATTTGAAAATTAAGCATATTGAATCAAATTTCGGGGGGGAGGGGGAAACATTTTATATTTCATAATGATTCGTATTTTTGGCGCAAAAAGTGAGAGGTCCCTCCTCCCCCCCCGGCTTCGCGGTTTCTGATTTAGTTAAAAGTGATAATCGTTTTGTACATCGTACACCATTCATACTGTTAGGGTACCCGCTTCCGGTTGTTCTAAAACTCGATCGTGAGAATTATTCAGCGGTTAGTAGGATAGAGACTAATCTGTTAGGTAACTATTGCATTTCCGGCGTTATAAGCCTTGATTCTAGTCAATATTTTCCTTAAAGACTGAGCAAAAATATCACGATTTTGACACGTAATCTGGATTACATTTCTAAAGTGTTCTTTGTAGCATCTCTGTAATGGTTTAATATCTTGTTAATAATGTAATAACATAGGTACTTATTCTAGTCGTCCACAAATGCTATTTTGGTATTTGTACAGGTTTATTCATGTTGATACCTGCTCTTACAGTTCGACCTCGTTGAGCTGCGCCACTGCTGTACTTGCGGTGGTGATGATAAGCGATGACAAGTTTTTGTAAAACATTTTTTGTAAATATCAAACTAAATAAAGTGCACTTTGAGACATAGCATGAGAATTCTTCTTTTGGAATTCGAATAACTACGATATGGTTTTATTTTCAAAGGCAAAGTATCCCAGCCGTCCTCTATCGACACAGTGTCCAAAAACTCATTTCAGTTTCAAGGGTGGCGTTTCGGTGGTACAGTTGCCTCTCGGCCTTGGGTCTTTTCCTTGCTTCGCGAATTTTTCGCCAGGTTCTCCGGTTTAACAGGTTTATCCAATTTGATCATGTGAATAAGCCATGCCCTGACTTTGATCATCTCAGAGGTCGCTAATCTAAGATATTCTTTTATTACTCGGGGTACTAGGGGTCGGGGCTATATAGCAATTTTTCGCGGGGAACAACTTTAAACCACCCCACCGTACAGTGACACTGAATTGGCTTCCCACAGTTTTTCGCACTTGAATTACAAAATATTTTGGAAACCAAGTCGAAAAGAAAAATATAAATAGGCGTTTGAATTGTCTTAGAGCCATTTATAAACAGTCTAGGTTTATCAGCCAACTTATTGATTCGTTATCTTCGCATTTCTACCTTATCATTCATCTGGTTTCACGTTACTACCGCCTACCTCGAAAGAATTTTTACCCACGTATTGTCCACGTTCGCGCATTAGCTCGATTTCTATGACTATCCAAACATGGCTTTTTTTCATTAGTATATTTAGTCAGATAGCTCTTGACCCCGCCAGAAACTGAAGGGAAATAATCATATCTAAATAATGAAGTCGCCAGACGCAATAATGGCTGTGACTCTCTTGACTTAGATTTAATCCTACTTTAAATTCGTCTGTTGGGATCCCTATGGCTTATCGTCTGATTATCGGAAATGGTCAAAAGGGTTTTTTCGTCTTTGTAATATCCTATTGTATTTGACGATCTTCGGAAAGTATTTCTTCATAAAATGATAATTTTCTTTTTATAAATAGTGTCGCGTTAAAACTTTGTCATTCGACCAATGAAATGGCTGAAAAAAAAGAGGTATTCATGTTACGGAAATCTTGATGGTAATTTTGCACCGCTCCATATATTTATCGCTCTTCAAACATRAATTCGCTTTATAGTTCAGAAGTCGATGACCGAAACCCATTTGATTGCTTAGTACTTGAGCGTGGATGAATTTCAATCGAATATAATTGGTTCCAACACAAAACCTATTGTTCTCCCTGTCACCGGAAAAACAAACACACAGACAAAGATCTTCTCAACACAGATCTTCGTTTTCTGTTCCCAACAACACACGATGGACAAATTGGTTGTATTATTTGCTTGTGAAATATCCTTTTTATGTTATGTTGGACATGTGTGATCAAGATGCTGTATTTTACGAGTTATATGATCGCCGTCTTGGTAATGTTACCGGCGATCACGGTAAATGGATTTCTGAATTTATACATGAACGAAACAGAAGCCAAGCGAGTGTTAGGCAAGTATTCCTCTTTTTTTCAATTGCAAGTTAATATTTCTAATCAAAACTTATCATTAACGAACTCTTTTTCATCTAATTTGCAGGATTGAGTGGCAATTTTTATTTTATTCGAGACGGAGAAGTAAAAAACAACGCGATCTTATTCAATATGCGAATTCCAAGTGCAGTAAAATGTATAGGCTTCACGTGGTTTCGTACTAGCATGACATCGGTAAGTTAAGAGCCATAGCTATTTTGTGTAATGTTTTCTACGCTTTAACTTTCCCGTTATTTGAAGCAATTGCAATCCGAGCTTTATTACCTTTAAGGATTATGTTAAGATCCGTTAGGGTTAATAATTTTAGTGTAATCTTCTATAGCTTCACACTCGAGTCATCACGTACGACAAAACTCTTTGATCAGTTGTTTAATGGTTCGCTAAAAATACTTTGAATTTTGAATGATAAAAACGAATGTCTAACCTTCCTAAGACCTCATATCATGCATATTCAATCATATGTTTCTTTGAACGATGCTGAACTACAGTCATATATGTTATATGGCGTGTATTTGCTTCACAGTATGACAGCAATTCGTTTGAGAGGTCGTTGAAAAAATTGTTGTTTACTAAGATTGAGTTTTTAAAAACCRTTCTATATGCAGCCTATAACATACTCGATAACCGTCGAGTCTCTCAATCCTAATCTTCTACGAAAACCAGCGATAAGAATGCAAGGAGCAGCGCAAAACACTGGATATGTTCCTGAGAAGAAATCTGGTAAGTCTTGGGCATTGATTTTTGCGCATAAATTGGATAGTCTCTATAATGCAATTTGAAAGCCATGATTTTGCGGTCTGCGCGTGTTACGCTTTGTGCCAATACTCTGTCAAGTGTGAAAACCCAGTTTGAAATCACTACTGCGGTGATTCTGGGGAATAGATTATCATTTGAACCAAGAATATTCACGTTATTTTATTCGAGTAAGGGATTTTTTGATGTGGTCAATAATTCATTCAGTAGGTCATTAAACTAACTCCTGTTCGTCAACTTATGTTTATAATTAAGAAATTTTTAGAATTTAATCAAAACAAGAAATAAGGGCAGGTCATTCCTGTCTACTCCTGGTTTTGTTTTACATCTTTTTATTCTGAATTTTCGAAAAATAACGTAAAAGGAASAACAGAAAAGACTTGTAATTGTTTCTTATAATTTAAAATTGACTTATATGATTAACCAAATTCTAATTAGAGGTGTGAAAAATATTTTCTCTATATTTACTCAAAGATTTTGTAACATTATTTTATTCAAATCMCAATGAAATAAAATTTCGCTTTTTGTCTTTTATTTTTCTCTTCATTTCATTTTTTTTACCTTCTCATTTTTCATTTTCATTTAAAAAAAATTCATTCTGAAATACCCAATGAATGATATTATGACATACTATGACCATAATTTTGTGTAGAAGCATTTGAAAAAAATAGAAAATAAATAGAAAAAGAACAAAATACTGAATAGAAGACCACTGGTAGAGCATGCATACAGTGTGACAATCTTTCTTGTTCTTGGTTTTCTTTCTTTGATTTTTACTCCATTGATTTTTCATATACGATATTTCCTTTATTAAGCCCCCAGCCTTTAATACTCCCCCTTGTAATAAGCCCCCGGTCTGAGGTGCTGAAAATTAAATCTTTTGCCCCCAAACCTAAGGATGGTCATGGTTCTTTCCTTTAGCATGGCTTTGAAACTCATTTCATCTGTCAAGATTATGAATAAWAATAATTATGAAGTCTCAAAGATCAGAAAAATTATTAAGCCCGCGTCCTCTAATAAGTCCCCAGTCCAAAAACACTAAAAAGGGAATAAACCCTTAGGGGGCTTAATGGAGGAAATGGGGTGTATAGAGATTTTCACAAGTTAAGAGCTTGATATCGTTCTCATTCGTGAACGAGCGAGTCTGTGAGGGAGTGAGTAATATGATATGAAAATGAGTGAATAAAAAGGTAACATACTCTTAATAGACACAATAACAAAACTCACAGTTTCCAGGTTATTGTGAAGTGATATCGTATCACTTCTTCGATATGCTTCTTATTTATGGCTTTATTACAATAAAATCAAATCTAAATCTAAATGTGTAATGAATGGAGATATGCTTTAATTAATGTTGTAATAAACCATAGTTAATGGAGTGGAATGTTTTGGAAACTCCAATAGAACCAAGCTATTGTTTTGTGATTGAGGTTGAACCGTACTGTGATACTGACTGTGCACAATGAACCAAAGCAAGTACGGCTAAAAATACTTATTATTTTCATGTATGAACGTTTTGAAAGCGAAAACTTTCATTCGATGACCAAAARCCATRCAGATAAATATTTATTCYGCAAAATAAGAAAGCATTAAAAAGAGCAATTTGCTTTTCAATAAAAAATTTATATTAATCAAATAAYGACTATTTTAGAACGATTTATTAAAGGAAAAAACTTGTATATTCCCTAATACTGTGAACAAATGGAGCAACTTTTCCTTATCTGTGCACGGTCAACRTCATAACAATTGAAAAAGTTGAACRAAAACCTAGGATAATAGGTTTCYCAACCACTCTGATCCTCTAACTATGAAAAACATATTGAGCATGTGGCAAGAATGAAAAACAGCAAGTTTTGCCCTTAAAGAGCTGGTACCACTTATATTTGTATATTTATAATACACTCAGCAAAATTACTCGATTCTGATTGGACGAGAGGAGTACAGTTATATCCCAAATTGTACTCTGTAGAGTTCCAATTAAGTTGCTCAATTTTGTTGAGCGTATTATAAACAAAAAATCGCACAATCTTCTTGTACAATTCCGAATTTATAGATACTCATGATGTTTTGAAAGTTCTCAAATTAAACTTGCCTAAAAGGCTCGTCCAATTTTGAAAACTTTCAAAACATCACTCGTACCTATAAATTCTGAATTATACTCGAGATCRTGCAATTTCCTTTACTAATTGACCTCTGATTTCCATAATAATTTYTTGCCAGGATTCTGTGTTAAGATGGAGTGTAAAGGCACGAAAGATGGTACAGCACAAATACGAATCAACATAACATTAAATGAATATACTAAAAATAAATTAATACCACTTAGCATGAGAAGAACAAAAACTTGTAGGAAAGGTAAGAAAGATAATTTTGTTCTCATTCCCATATGTTATGAAAGATTAAGAACCTATGCATTTGCTTAAAGAGTAAAAAATATATATACGCCTTTTACCAAAAACATTTGTGGAGCCAAAGGAGATAGGCAATAGGTGATAGGTCATTTTCCTGGGCATTCAATGGACTACTTCAATGATATGGCTGCCATCTTACCAGGGTGCAAAACAAAACAAAAATGATGGAAAATATATAGAGTTTTGTGTGTTTTWTTAATGGGTAAAAGTGATTGATATGCCATCTTATCTATGCCCCATTATGCCTTATGGAAGATCAGGCTACAGCATTTTAGAAGTAGTCCTTTATGGGTATACAGCTATAAATAGGAATAGTTAGGGTGTTTGAAATTGCTTCCACCACAATTGCAAGCAACACTTATTATTTTGATCAACACTAAACCCGAGTATATATTTACTAAACTTTCTATACAGTTGCAATATTTTTATTATTTTCTTTATTTTTAGTCCTACCTTTAGTAACCTCTTCAGATGCTTCTTCAAATGTTGCAGACTCAGGTACAGTATAACCAAGATTTTTTATCAAACATGACAAACTTCAATTCCTGGAATAATTATTTAAAAAAACCATTTTACAACCACCACTCTCCATTACAGGGCTCTTCCGTGAGGTTTCCTCCACATGCAGTACATATGTAACACCCAACTCACATTTTCTTTATACTATTCCAGGAAAGAAAGACGCAAGCTTCTCCACATCAGAGAAGACTAAAGTGTTTTATATTGCTGTTGGTGTTGCTTGTAGTATAATATTTATTATTGCATTAGCTGTTGCTGCTATCCATGTGCATTCAATGCCGTCACCTTCTACCAACAAAGATAGCACAAGGTAAGTAGTTTTTAGACCAGCATGCTTACTAAAATATCTTAAAATTGCATGAATAGCTTTTGACTTGCATGGATTTGTATTATTGCCAATTGCAACTGTGTTGATAGAGTATCAGATATATATATGTCCATAATCGTGCATTTATTGAGTTGTATATCCATATTCATGTATCTTCACTAACAAATATACAATGATCAGACAGTTAAATGATGCACTAGGGAATGACACATGATCTGAGATGGGGCAACGTCATACCCAAGCTAGAAAAGTCTATTCCAAATAGATCTATGAGTTAGCCATACCCTAACGTTATTTTTGGGCTTCTTATCACTCCTCCCAAGATTTTGCTAAATTACCATGCATTTTGATCAGAGCAAAGGTTTTGCAGTTTTGTGAAAAAAACATCTCAGTTCTTACCGAGTCTTGCTCATGGGTTAGCCCAATTCTTTGCAGTGGATCAGATGGAAGTAGTGGTCAATCAAATGGACCTTTAAAACCCAATACAGCAATGGAAAATACTGTACATACAAGCCTGCTTAAGCAAACACCCCAGGTTGCAGTGCAACAACCAAACCAACAATGTGAGTAAATTATCTTTTAAATGTCACAACTCATTTTRTGACCAGAACAAGGCACTTAATAGACTTCTTGCAGCACGTCAGAATGCAGCTTAATTTAGAGGACTAAACAATAGGGTTCCAATTCTCACAAGATCGAAATTATTTTGTTTCTTCCTTCAAATTGAGTTCCTTTGATGTCGCATGCAAGGAGTCTGTATCAGAAGGCATTGCCTTCRTGTTGTTATCTCAAAAAGGTTTAATAAAGTTCAGCATGTGTTAAGAAAAGGCATAAGAACAATTAGTCATGATATGGAGCTAAATCACACGGCAGAATGTTTATTCACATGAGACTACAAAAATGTAAACTCATCCTGAAGCACTTGAATGCCAGGCTATTGAGGGAACAATCTATTGTTCCAGTCAACATTGCCACAGCATTAGAAAGGGCTATAGAGGCTTTGCATCATTACATGTTAGCCATGACAGGAGCAACAACAATAGAACCTTTCCCCCCCTGGGAAACTGAATTCTTTCTCATTTGAATTAGATAAGATTCAATTGTCCCTGCCTCTTGTCAGGGGTGCCATCACATGATGGTGCAAAGCCTCTATTGTGTCAGATGACAGAGATTCCTTACAACACATTCCATGATAGTGGTGGATCCAGGCAGGGGATGATTGCGTGGGTGCCATGAAGCCCCCTTTTGTGAGATCTTGTGAAGCCAATCATGTTCTTTATGCTCAGTTGAATGACATTGGAAGCCCCCTCTTGGTAAAATCCTGGATCTGCCTCTGCATGAGGATTATATACTATAAAAAATAATATTTACAGACTTATCTTGCTTTTCTGTAGGATCATAAAGGGGAATTGCACTAACATTTTCTAGTCTAATTTTGGTAAAATACTATTACAAGTGGTCCATTGATGACTTTTATCATAAATACCATTATGGGGATCCTGTTTCATAAAGTCCCTTGATGTCCCATTGACAAAATTAATATATAGGCAAATTCCAGTTAATCTTTAACATTATTTTTGTCCTTAGCAACTGTCAATCACCCACACATTAACCAAATAAACATTCAGCTTCCTGTCCATAATCCGCCACCCAATCATATTCCAGTCCAAGTTGATGTCAATCACCCCCATCAGCATAACCCAATGCTTCAGCGAACAAACTACATGCTTCCCCGACCATTCCCAGTAACTACCCTTGCCAATGGAGACATCCCTAGTGCTACCAGTAGGACTCATTCTATATCATCAAGTGTAACAGCACCAATGCACAAAGCATCTGTGAGTAGTGCTCCTGTCGAGCTGTACCCCCATGCCGGGGGTCTGACAAGTACCCAGAAAGGAAAGTATGGTAATCGAGATATCAAGGCAGAGCTGGCTCCTCTTGATGTGGACCTGGATAGGATTACTCTAGGAGACTTGTTATATGAAGGTATAATATGATCACACTTTATTATCACTAYTATTAAGATTGTGTCATATTCCTTATGACTATGGAATAGACCCCTTGCATGTGACGTCAAAGCAGCTCAGTTTGTAGAAAGCAAAAGAATTTCAATCTCATGAGAATTGGAAACCTATTGTTATGTCCTCCAAATTGAGCTGCAGTACTACAAGTACTATAAAGTACTGCAAGGGGTCTAAATATAGATATGTGCATGCCTTGCAATGACCGTGCCGTGACTTTTACACGCTGTGATTGGTTAAACAGTTGTCATCATCATTTCCTAAAAGTACTTTGTCATATACTGTCATTCAGTACATACCGAATGCATATTTTGAAAATCTTATTCATTATAGCTGTTCCCATAATAATTGCAAGACAAACTGCGAAGTTTTTTAAAGTCTGCATTTTTGGTTCCCTCAATTAATTTTTTAAAAAAATCAATCTTTGGACTTTGAGCATCAGAAGCCACAAGTGTTTGAAGTTTTTCGTAATTCTTTCGTCAGGATGCCTGAGTATAATTGAGCAGATGYCGTACACCCCATGTACTGAATAAGTTTTTTTGCAGATGCAGTCCGTGATGACTTGCAGCTTTTTATTGGAAGAGTAGCGATATCAACTCGCGCTGATTAGCTAATGTTGCAAATTCTGTCCCTTAACCCTAAGCCACTTAAGCYGTTTTTATTTTACGCGCAAATAATTTATTCTCTTATTGTTTGCAARTCCTACAATTTTTATAATATGATTATTTTAAAGGAACATTTGCACGCATATACGAAGGAGTCCTAACGGGTCCAGAAGAACACCTGCAACAAAGTGTTCTGGTAAAGACAGTGTCCGAAATCGCMTCATCAGAACAGGTGAACTTGATGCTGATTGAGTCGTCGATGCTWCGAGACTTGACACACAAAAATCTCATGCCTATAATGAGTGTTTGTTTGGAAGATGAGAAACAACCCCTTGTGATGTTTCCCTTTATGAACCGAGGAAATCTGAAACTGTTCCTCAAGAAGTCGCGCTCACCMGAAGGACTTTCCAAGCGGGTAAGAAACAACATTGGCCACTCCTAGAAATGAGCAAGAGACTGGGGTGAAGCGTCCCTCTAACCACACATTTTTTGTCAATTTCTGACACTCTTGTCTTGGCGTTGCCGACATGGAACATCGCAACGTCTATCCACCCCTGCAGCCCACAAACGTAGAAACGAGTTGAATATTTCAGGAGGAGGGGGGGGG